CGTAACAATATGTTTATAGACACATCTCCTAGGGCAAGAGAAACGAAGGAGAAAATAAACAAGTGGGACTGCATCAAAATAAAAAGCTTCTGCACAGCAAAAGAAACCATCAACAAAACACAAAGGGAGCCCAGTGTATGGGAGAACATATTTGCCAATAACACATCAGATAAAGGGTTAATATCCAAAATATATAAGGAACTCATACAACTTAACAAAAGGAAGACAAACAATCCAATTAAAAAATGGGCAAAGGACCTGAATAGACACTTCTCCAAAGAGGACATACATATGGCTAAGAGACATATGAAAAAATGCTCAATGTCGCTAATCATCAGAAATTAAAACCACAATGAGGTACCACTTCATACTTGTCAGAATGTCTACCAACAAATCAATGAACAAGTGCTGGCAAGGGTGTGGAGAAAAGGGAACCCTAGTACACTGCTGGTGGGAATGCAGACTGGGGCAGCCACTATGGAAAGCAGTTTGGAGTTTCCTCAAAAGATTAAAAATTAACCTGCCATTTGACCCCGTGATCCCACTTCTAGGAATATATCTTAAGAAACACAAAACACCAATCAGAAAAAACTTATGCACCCCTATGTTCATAGCAGCGAATTTACAATAGCTAAGATCTGGAAATAGCCCAATTGCTCATCAGTAGATGAGTGGACAAAAAAGCTGTGGGACATTTACACCATAGATTACTATGCAGCTGTAAAAAAAGAAGGATCTTTTATCCTTTGGGACAGCATGGCGGGAACTAGAAAGTATTATGCTAAGTGAAATAAGCCAGTTAGAAAAAGACAAGTACCACATGATCGCACTTATATGTGGAATAAACAAAATAAACTGATTAACAAAATGGATCCAGAGACATAGAAGCATGGAACAGACTGAGGGGGTTAGGGGGAGGGGGGTGGATGTCGGGTGGAGGGGATCAATGGGGGTAAAAAGGGGACACCTGTAATATTTTCAACAATAAAGTTAATTTGTTAAAAAAAAAATAAAGTTTAATTTATAAATTAGACAAGAGATTAACAACATAATAGAAAAATTACAATAATATACTGTAATAAAAGTTATATAAATGTGGTCTCTCTGTCTCTCAAAATATCCTATTGTGTTGTATGTACGTCCCAGGAGGGGTGGAGCAGGATGGCACAAGACTTCATCACACTACTCAGAACAACACATTTAAGTTTTAAAAGTATGAGTTGTTTATTTCTGGAATTTTCCATCCAATATTTTTAGACTATGGTTGACCGAAGGTAACTGAAACCAAAGAAAGCAAAACCACAGATGGGCAGCAGCAGGACTACTGTAATTTTTCCTAAAGAGCATTGGAGCAGTATCACATAAATCCAATGTGTTGTGTTCATTCTCCTTCAGTTCAAAATACTTTCTAATTTCTCTTTTGATTGCTTCTTTACTCATGGGTTACTTAAGATTGGATGCACAGGGAGGTCAGCCACAGATCCCTGGGGTTCTCTATGGGGTTCTCTCCACTCTGGGGCTCTGTTCTCTAAAATCTGGCTGCCTTGGTCTCCCTGGATTTTCTGTTCTGTCTCAACTGTGACAGTCTGCTGAGTTTTGCCTAGGTCACCCCGCCCTGCGCTGCAAGTTGGAAATTCTTTCAATGCATTAGACAGAGGCAAACATAGGACTTCTCCTGTTTCCCATGTCTCAGGGATCATTGTCCTTGATATCCGGTGTCTTGAAGATCATTGTTTCATATATTTTGTATGTTTGGGGGGTTGTTTCAAGTATGAGAGTAAACCTGGGCATTATTACCACATCTTAGCTGGAAGAAGAAATCCAGTGTTTTGTTCTTTATATATCACTATGAACTCATGATTTTTATACATTTCATTTGTTTTAATCCACTGTAATCATTTTTCTTTTTGAGGCTGAAAGTATCCCAGTCTAGGCCAGTGGGAGCCACTACATGTTGGCTTTTGTGTCTTTTTGACATGTTTCTACTAGTCCCTTTGGTGGTGAATGGTATTTAGGTACTAGGGATTAACTATTTATTTGCATTTGCTAAACTTGTTTTTAAAAAGTAGGAGGGAGAGCAAGAGGGCAAGATAGAGGTATTTTATTTATAAATAAGTACATTACAAAAAACTGAACATACCTGTGATGGAGGAGACTCAATTCTGCCACATACAAGTCACTCACACCCTCAACTGTTAAAGACTTCAAAAGTTCTCATCATTTCTCCCTCAATATGAATCTCCATGTTTCCAAAACAGTCTACTAAATCTGACTTTATGTTCTAAACCTGTGTTCATTCAGTCTCAGCTATTTCTGGACTCTCATTTACACAGTCATAGCAGCTTAGAAGGAAGGCCCCCTATTCCAATATTGTTTGGTATTAGTGGAATCTATCTGAAGACTAAGGGTGTGTCATCAATAAATATTGCAAAGTAAATTAGAATCCAGCCAAGCCTGAGAACATCAAAGTGAAATTAAGTCCAAAGGATCACTGTAACAGAATATCATTATTCTTCCATCTATACCCAATCTTCAGTCTTCTTACCCATGGTTTAACAATCTAAGTTGTCACAAATTTCCTTTCTAACTTATTAAAGCTTCACATTTCTTAGTTTCAGTGAAACCCCCACACAGTCCTTTCCAGGTCAATGATTCTTAAATTCATAGGTTATTCTGTGTGCAAGAAACTCTAGAGATAAATCATCCAATCCAGGCATATCTCTTGATAGATAGGGAACTAAGACACAGAGATTTTACGGCACTTGCCTCCATGAGCAAACTGAGAGCCAGAGATTTCCTAAATCATATAGACTGATAGTTCTCAATAGTAGGTGTTTGACATCCCCCTAATTTTATATGTAAAAATTGCATACCATGGTGATAATAAATTATTTAGCAACTATACACCATGATGACTATAATAGCAACACAACTTTCTAGGATCATTTATTTATTTACAAAATTCTGTGAATGTAATTTACATTTTGTGTAATGTCTTAGCATGTAAACAGTTTGTCAGAATACAAAATGTTTTACTAAAAAGCTTTGTATTTTATTTAAATCTGAGTTCTACCCTTGGTTTCAAGAGGTAAAACAATTAAAATTGCTCTGCAAAAGCTACGAATGTTTAAAATTCTATCTTGCCTTTACTTGAATCCAGCAAACTAAGCATATAACACCACAAACCAGTCTTCTCATCACAGACTTTGTTGAGCAGCAGAGACAACCCTCAAAACTCTGAGGACCAGCTTTGATATCAATCAGGCAGATTCTGACTGCGACAGGGCAAACCGCCAATCCTGGCCTATAACTCTAAGAACCTTCTCAGCAAATGGAGCCTTCCAGCACGCACATTTGCTGTAGCTGCTATTTTGTCAAAGAGAATAATTCTGGTCTTTTTAGTACCAGTGTACCATAATTTTTTGCCATCTCAAAATGCTCAGAGAAGGACTTAATGACCTAATAAGTCCTGTGTTGTCTTTAATGAGTATAATTTCTAGTGATAGTAAAATCCCACATATGATCATTGTTACATTTGTTGTACACAATCTGTTCATCCAAAGGCATTTCTACTCTACACTATTAACAGCAAAGATGTGACTACAAAAACATTCATCTACCAAGATGTTCAGGCATGGTTATAAGAAATGAATAAAAATTATGGTTATATATGGTTATACTGAGATGTTCTGATAGAATAATAATTGAGAATAAGCTACCTATCCTCTCCACTGGCTTTAGGTTCTGACCCTCAAAATACAATTAAAGCTGACCAGTCATTAAAGACACAGGAAAATCACAGCCTCTGTTTTAGATAGACTTGAACAGTGATTTGTTATTTTTTTCTCAAATACTTGGATTTTACAGCAATTTAGATATCACAGCATTTATGTTAATATTAGTAACTAACATTTACTTAGCACTTACTGCAATCTCAATAGTGAGGCAAGCACCTTGCATATATTACTTCTATTAATACCCTGAAAAATTATTTGCCTGCTTAGCTAATAAGTGGCAGAGCCAAGGTTCAAGCCCGGCCTGACAACAGAGCCCAGGCTTCTATCCACTGTGCCTTATTGCCATAGTCCTGGGCAACTTGTAAACATTTGCTCTTTTCTATTTCCCAGTAAACTGCAAACTTAAAGAGACCTGAAGAGGCCAAGCCCAAACAAACCCGGGATCTCACCTGCATTATTTCAGCCTTGTGCTACTAACACCACAGTTTTCTAACAGCAGTGAACTGAAGGAAGGCTGAATGAATAGGTTACTAAGCTTTTTAGTGGAAAAGGCAAGACTCATCCATTCTCCTAAGTACTATATTATACAGTTAAAATCCATGCAGTGACAAGTTTCAGGCAATACACAGGTAAATTTTATAGTAACCAGTTTTTCTCATGACATGTATGTAAATAAGAATTAACTCCTAATTACTTGAGAGCTCTGGAAAGCAGCAGAGATGGCACATAACTGAGAGATTGCAAAGGAACAAGCATTTTCACCTTGCTAAAACAGGAGATTTCATATATTTGGTGCACAAGAAAGCTATAAGGTTAATTTTCTATATACATTCACCTCTCTTTCACCTTAGATACTAGGCTTAAAAATATGTACTGGCCATATTCCCCTCTGAAAAGCAAAAATGTTCTGAGGACCTAATGATAAGTGAGCAGTTAAAACTACAATCAAATTACCTTCTAAATGCAATACATCATTAAGCTAACATTTAAATAATTCTTGCCACATATATCAGTTTATTTAAGGCATGTATCTCATAGTTATTAGCAATAAAAAAGCAAAATAGGAAGCTGCCTTTTTAATAAATAAGTGGCCCATTTTAGAAAGGGCAGGTTTGGTATTGTTGCCTTAAACTCGTTTTAACTTTATCAAACACTAGTACACTTTTGTAACGGTCTATTTCCATCCAAGTACATTTAACATTGCTAAGGCCCTGATATGAAGGCTAAGTGAAAACACAAAGCAAAAATAGCCATGGTACCTACCTTGGTGAGGTGGATGACTCCTTTAGAAGTAACCGAACAACCCATGAAGCCAACATACTGAAGTTCAGGACAATGCTCAGCAAATGCTTTCACTGACTGATCTGTCACCTACGGAAGAGACGTAAGGAAAGTCATTCAAGGTGGCATCCCAGTGAATTTCAGGATTTGGCTCCTCAAATTCCCTCTGCCCAACTCACATCATTAATATTTCCCTACCCATTAGATCATTTGAGTCAGTTTACAAACATGCTGCAATATGTCTTGTGGGTTTTTTGAAATCCTCCCTTCACCCCACATCTCTTCCAACATCCCATGTTTTTCCACTTCTTCAGAGAAAACATTTTGAAGTCTGGCTGGTGTGGCTTGAGCATCGATGCATGTACCAAGAGGTCCCAGGTTCGATTCCCCATCAGGGCTCATGCCCAGGTTACAGGCTCGATCCCCAGGACAGGGCATACAGGAGGCAGCTGATCAATGATTCTCATCATGGATGTTTCTACCTCTCCCTCTTCCTTCCTCTCTCTCAAAAAAACAAAAACAAAAAACCAATAACATTTTAAAAATACATCTCGAAGATGTCAACACTATCTACCTCCACTTCTTCAACTCAATATATACTTTTTTATTGACATATAATTCACATACTATAAAATTCACCTTGTCAAAGGGTAGAGTTCAGTGGTTTTTAGTATATTCACAAGGTTGTACAACCATCACCAATATCAAATTTCATGACATGTCCATCACCTCAAAAAGAACCCCCTTGCCCACTGGCAGTCACACTCCCCTATTCCACCCCCTGCCCCAACTGCCTGGCATCTTTCTGTCTCTATGGCTTTGCCTAGTCTGGGCATTTTTTATAATTAAAATTATGTAATTGGGTCCTAAATTGCAACAATGGTTTCTTTATCAGGTTTCTCTCTTCAAGTGTTTCTTCCAAGAAATCTAGTTTTGCCCCTCACTGCTTCAGATTCTTCAGATTTGGATGGTACAATGGTTCATTTTATGTGTCAGCCTCACTATGCCAGGAGGTGCCCAGATATTGGGGTAAATGTTATTCTGGGTGCGTCTGTAGGGTGCTTCGGGGTGAGATTAACATTTGAAAAGGCAGAGTAAAGGGGGGGAGGGTCTAATCCAACCCACTGTATGGAGCAAAAGGCAGAATGAGAAAGAATTTCTCCCTCTCTCTCCGTGTGTGTGTGTGCGCGCGCGCGCGCGCGTGTGTGTGTGTGTGTGTGTGTGTGTGTGTGTATTTGACCTGGGACATGGATCTCCTACCTTCCTACCTTCAGGCGCAAACTTGTACTGGAACTTACACCATCAGTTCTGGTTCTTATGTCTTTGGACTCAGACAAGGACCATACTGCCAGCTTTCATGTGTCCCCAGATTACTAACTGCAGATTTGGGGCCTTCTTAGCGTCCATAATCCCATGAGTCAATTCCTTACACTAATCTCTTTACACACATACACACACAACTCATACCCATTCTATTTCTCTGAAGAACCCTGACCAATGCAATACCAGTTAGAATCCCCTGAGGATTTTATTAAAAACTCATCGAGTGAAAGAGGTGGGGCCCGAGGATCTGTACTTTCAACAAGCCCCTGCATGACTCTTAGACGTGTGCAAGCTCGAGGCCTCAGTCTGTGAGGAAATCACACTGACAGCTTTGGCATTTGTATGTGGCCCACTTTTATTTAAGCTAAGGGCAAGATTAAACTTTTTTTTGTCTCCCCGCACCTCCAAAAACTTTCCATGTATAAAATGATCTTCTTATAATTCTGCTAACATTTTCTTCACTGTTCCACAAAGTTGTAGTTTATGTAATCATGTCCAAATATTGTCTATCACAGGCTTAATTTCAGATTCACTTTCCTCATAGTCAAGATAAAATCAAGTTGAAAGCTTTTGTTAGTTTTTCAAACTGCAGCAACTTACATTTCTTTTGCATTAGCTTTAACACTGGTGACTCTTACTTTCTATCTTATCTATTCTGAATAGATATTGGAAAATAATGGTATGTGGGTAGCATTAATTCTAAAACAACACAAGCACATTTTCCTAAAGTAACGAAACCAACAGCATCCATGGTACATCTGATAAAAGATTAATTTTGCCCTCAAAAGTAAAGTATGCCTCAGCATATTAAGACTAAGGGTGCCGCTGATAAATTAAAAATGGGCCTTTCCGACACTCAGCTTTCTAAAATATTATGTTAACAAAGAATATTTAAGGCACTAAAATTGCCTGAAGCTTCAATGAAAACCAATCTCTATTTTAAAATGTGGGTGGGGGGAGTAACAGAGCTTAAATAACAAATTGTTGGTTAAATACCCTGTCCAATCTCACTCTAACATCAAGCCTTTCATATATCTATCTTTCAGGAACTCAGCCAAGGATTAAGGACACAAGAAAGCTCAGGTCCAAGGTATTAGCACTTTAAGACAGAAGAAAAAAGGGGTATTAAAAAATTGCTTGGTGGCTCTTTCTCTTTCAGCTGAAGCAATCAGAGTAAGAGAGCTCAGAGGAGCCTCCAGCTTCGACAGTCCCATAAACCAACAAAACCACACTAAGTCCTTGGAGTACAGAAACACTCTTACAATAGGTGTGGTGTGTTTTTTGGAGACTAATAAAGGGCCTTGAAGATTTGGGTGGAGTCCAGCTCCATTTCCAAGGATATAAAATTGATACTGTTGTAATTAACCTAGTTATTAATAAGAGGAAAGGAGCAAAGAGAAGGCCAAATATTATAGGCATGTCATTTAGGCAGCTTTACCAGGAAGCTAAAGCTTTACACTCCCCAGGGAGCCACCGATCTATTCCCCCAAGATCTCTGGGGGAAGAGACTGGACAGGGAGAACAGATGCATGCCCAGTAAAGCTGGGGTGATGTTAGGAAGGTACTTATCTGTCAGTCACATCTGGGAACAGGTCACTGGCCAGAATGGGCATGGCCACTGCAAAGGCGCTAAATTTGGGGTATCCGATCCCCTAAGCAAAGAGTTTGCTCTCTTGGTTCCTCCTATGCTCTTGGGACTCTTGTTGCTTGGTGCATGCTCTTCTGTATTCGCCCACATGGCCCACAGCCACGTGGGCCCACACACACAAGGGACTAATGGATGCTGCTAGCGTGATGCTGAACTGGGCCGGTTCCAACATGCACAGGAAACTCTGGACACTGGGTCTGCTTCAGGCCCTACTGAATCCCCGGCTGCACTTCTTCTAACTAAGGGAAATGGGACTTCAGAAACACAGAGATGTAATTCCATGCAAATAAAAATCACTCATCCTCCCGTGTGAGTCTCAGAAAATTCTTTTTCTTGAGATATTGTAAGGACCCCACCCCCAGCACCCAGTGGGGAAGAGGATCCCCCAGTTTCTCCAGTAACAAGGTCAGCTAGGAATTGGAGGCTGAAGGTCTGACAGAAACAAAGATTACAGGAGGCAGGTACTGCTGGGTGTCAGCTTCTCTGGGACCCTGGAATCTGATTGCTTCTTTTCAAATCCCAGGCACCCCACTTCCTAGCTGTGTGATTATGAGCAAGTCATTTCTCCTCTCTATACTTCGTTCTTTCTATAATACGGAGGGAATCAAAGTACCTAAGTCACAGGGTAGGGAATAAATAATGCATGTAAAATGTTACATTTTTTTATCAGTAAAATATGTAATGAAAGCATGCTAATTTACTCTCCTAGTAACTCCAAGAGATCCTGATCATAATTTGGGGGCTAGGTTATGGGCTAATCTATGAGATGTAAGGGAGACATAAGTGGAAGTTAGCTATTAAATCATTATGGTTAAAAAGAATCCCATTTTGCTGAGATTCTCAGCCTGACTACCCATCAGATTCACCTCAAGAGCTTTCTGATTTAACTTCTGGGTGAAGGTCTGCATCAATTTTATTTTAAGAGCTCCCCCAGGAGATTCTAACACATAGCCTGGGTTATAAACAAGCTCTAAGGCCTTCATGCAAAGTGTGGTCCTCAGACCAGCAGCAATGGTGTCAACTTGAGGCTTCTTAAACTGCAAAATCTCTGACCCCACCACATACCTACTAAATTCTAATCTGCATTTTAACTAGATCCCCATGTGATTCCTATGCACCTTAAAGCTTGAGAGACCACTGAAAGGACAGAGACATCGTCTTCTTGGGGTGAAGAGAAGCAGAAACTGGAGAGCTCTGTCATAACCAAGGCACTACAGAGAATTTTTTAAAGCAGCTTCACTGGGTATAACTTACATGCCATAAAAGTCACCCATCACCCATTTTAAGGACACAGTTCACTGAGTTTTAGTAAACTCACATAGCTGTGCAATGGCCGCACAATGCAGGGTCAGAACACTCCGTTGCACCGCCCCCCAAACGTCCTTTATCCTTTGTGCCCACACGCGGTTAGTCACAGCTCCCACCCCAGGCAACCACTGATCTGCGTTCTATCTCATACTTTTGCCCTTTCTAGAAATCTCATATAAACAGAACTGTAGCATAATGTTTCTGAGGTTCATCCTTGCCCTTACATGTATAATAGTTGGTTCATTATATTGCCAACTAGAATTCCACTGGATGGTCACACGACATTTTGTTTATCTGTTCACCAGTTGATGAACATTGGAACTGCTTCCAGCTTGGGGCTTTGATAAATAATGCTGCTGTGATCATTCATGTACAAATCTTTGTAAGGACATATATTATCATTTCTCTTGGGTAAGTATCTAGAAATGGAATAGCCGAGTCATGTGATAAATGTAAGTTTAATTTTTTAAGTTGGGTTGTTTGTCTTAAGTTGTAAGAGTTCTTTATATACTTTGGATACAAGCCTTTTATCAAATATTTGTTTCACAAATATTTTCTTCCATTCTATGCCCTCTCTTTTCATTTTCTTAATGAGATGGTCTTTACTCTAAACACTTAGGTCTACGGTGCTCTTGGAGTTCATTTTTGTAAATAGTGTGAAAGGTTCTCTTTTTTTTTTTTTTCTTTTTTCTTTTGATATACAAATGTCCAATTGTCCCAGCACCATTTGCTGAAAATACTATATACTATGAAGAAATTTTAAAGCTCCAACCTGGAATAGCTAGACGTGAAGGTTCACACTCACTCAGAG